AGGGGCGGATATTAAATTTGTTTATCTTTATTTTCAATGAAAATTTATATCATTACAACCGTAACTACTTTCTTGCAACAGCGTATGAATTACAACTTCATAATATGTAACGGTAAAGTGACGTCATCCTAACCGTGCCATTGTACAGCACGCGACTCATCTGGAACCCCCCATGCCAGATGAAATTTCCGGCATGGGTACGCCAGTCTGATATGCAAGAAACATTTTACTGTTCTTTGATAACTGATGCACGTTCATGTCTGCATTACTGTCACATGATGATCTACACATCTCTATTACAAGCAAGAAGGGGGTTTTACCTCTATAACAAAAGTAATGCAATATGTACCTTTATCACACACCCGTGCCGATTATGCGACTCCGTAAAAATGGTATTGCACAGACGTGCATATATTTTTACGTGACGTCATTAGCGTTATACAAACAGCTAAATGTTAGCGTTATACTATAGGCGTGTCAATGAAAAATGACTCTTATTTCAATTTAAACAGTCTTTATTTTGGGTATGTGATAAATAGAATATCAAATTCGTGTAAGTTCATTACTGAATTTATTGCACTCGTTGAATAAAATAAGATTATGCTCGCCAGAGGCTCGCATAATATAATTTTATTCAACTCGTGCAATAAATTCAGTATTGAACTTACACTCATTCAATATCCTCTATTTGATACTAGAATGTTCTTACCATAATGTTTTTCATAGATCAGTCAGAACTGTACATTTTGTTTTATTTCATATGGTATTTTTAAAGAAGTTTCTGATGTAAAAGTTAAAATTTTTTTTTTATTTTTATACTATGTATTTTCTTGAATAAATTCATGCAACGGTTAAACATTTAGTTTTTGATTTAAAAACTTAAAACGTGAACTTAGTGTGTACTAGGGTAAGTGTACTTGTGAATGATTGTTTTATACATATAGTGTAATAGTGTAAGATAATGAAGGAGGAAACTAAATTATAATTTATCATATGTAGCAGTTAGACTTGTGCTAAATGTACAAACAAGCAAACTGAAAGATTTTTTTCTTTTAAATTGTAAAGAAAATAAAGAAAAATAAATGCTAACAACGATGTCAAGGCTTGATTATTTCTGCTTGAGCGCTTAGTTTTGAGTGGCAAGCTTGAAAGTGTCTGTGTTGTTATTAGCAATTTATTTATGCATCTCCTAAGAGTTTGATTTGTGATAACTCGTGTAACATAAATTATTCACAGATATTATTCATACTTGGACAAAAGAACACACAAGACAAAACCGACAGTTTTCAGTTATTCTGATATGACCTGGGCCTTTAATTGACCTTGGTTGTCGCGGTAGATAATCAAAAATTCAAGAATTTAAGACAATGTAACCTTTCCAAAGTCTCATTACATGTATTTGCATTTATTCTGTCTCCTAGCATATCGATATAGATTTACAGTTTATATTGGGACAAGATTAGTGGTTGTCAGCTAATAAAACTCGAGTGACTAGGCCATATTAAAATTTTAAATATGCTAATAATAAAATAAATTGTATAAATACTTTTAATGCATCAAATTTATTAAATGAGAATGCATGACTACTTTTCTGAAGTTACTTTTTGGCCTATTATAGTTACTTCCATTCAAATCTTGTGAAAACTTTCAGCAGTTTGGATGTATGATAATCTTAGTTCTTAAAGTGATGATATACAACTTTTATCTGTTAAAGGAACTCCATTGAGCTTTATAAGCCTAACGCATAACATTTTATTTTTTCACATAGATAAACATGAGCACATTAAACAGAAATATAAATAAAATATAACTAAGAAATACATTGAAAATAGTTTGTGCTATTGTCAGTAAGATTTGAGTGAAAAGCGTTTAAATTAATTTTGGGTCATTTTTCGCTATCATAATAATCATTTTGAAAAACAGAGCGAGCTAATGATCTGAAATAAGTTATTAGTATAGATCTTCATCAAATGGAGTAATTATCTAAAAAACAACTTTCCAGTCCCGTCATGTCAAAAAACCTCAGTGGAGTCCCTTTAAGAATGTTTGACAACATTGAGCTACATAAAACTGATTACTGACATTAGAATCAAAACTTTTGGGGAATAAATGAACTTAATCATTGACATGTCTACACTTTATAACACAACTTGTAAATTACCGTGTATAAATAATAAGCCTGAATCAATTATAAATATGTCTCGGAAATAAGCAACAATTTAATTTAAGTCAGTTTGGTTTGTTCATTTAGTGATTTAAACGGACTCTAAACCTGTCCGAGATATATTACAAAGTCAGCCACAACATTGCATTATCTTGTAATCATTAGAAATATTCTTTATGTTTAGAACACTTTGTATATTAAAGCTGCACGCCTCCAGATGAGCAAATATATTTCGATAAAATCAAACCTGGGAAAAATGTTCTCAGATTTTTGGAAAGGTATAAAGATTCAAATTCTAGTAATAATTTACATGTTATTAGCGATTAATTACTAATTTTTCAGTATTTATAACTATATTTCTACTGCGTTACTAATGCGGTAAGGTCAATTTTTGCATATTTTTTTTTACCTCTTTATAGCAATGTACAGGACATTGGGTTGTAAAGTGCCATTGATAATGTGTAAATTGCATTATTTTGGTAACTTAACAATATTATACTGCTTAATACATTTTCAAATTTTCATGAAAATTAGCATGCTGCTTTAAGCATATATTTATTATATTGTAAAAGTGCTTGAGCAGAACATGTATGTTCGGGAACTTGGGTTCTACTTCAAATAAATCTAAACGAGTATGCGCCTTTAACTTTTATTTCCTTGATACACGTCAATAAGCGATGATAAGCGATTTTCTGTAAATATTCATTTACAATTTGTACTTCGCAATAAATAATAAACATAAAAACATTCACATCATCAATAAATTACATATGTACGGAAGCTTATCAGGGCCTCCTCTTATCTAAAAGTTTTACGTCATGTCAACTTGTTTCTTCTCATTTTTACCAAAAACATTTCATGAAGACGTTACGATTAATACGTAAAACAATCCATGAAGACGTTTTATTTAATGCTTTTCAATGGATTATTGAAATATATCAGTAGATTAAATCCTGATAATCTCACTGTTTCAAACAGTGAAATTATCATTTTGATAATTTCACTGCTACGGAACTACTTTTTTCCCCTTCAATGAACCCCATATACATGTACTAAAGTACAACTTGAGTTGTCTCCCTTCTATTTACTCTCTTAATTTACAAACAACAAATTACATGTACTTCCTCTTTATTCATTTACTTCCTGTCGTCTGCAAAAATGGAAGAACTTGCAAATTTGGATGCTTCTGCCCTAGATGATATTTTTAATAACTTCTATGATAAAGAAGAGTATGGAGATTTTCAGGTTGCAAACAGAAATTTTAGGGAAATTGATCCTGATGACTTCCTGTTAGAAAATGAAAATAAAAATACAAAAAGAAAAACAGAAAGTGACATGAAATTGTTTATGTCATTTTTGATGGCAAAAAATGAAGCCAGGTTGCCAGAGTGTTGTTTTTTTGTTAATACAGCTCTTGTTTTAGAGAATTCTACATCTTTAAAAATGGATACAATCAAAATCAAGCCATGTATCCATTTTTAAAGATGTAGAATTCTCTAAAACAAGAGCTGTATTAACAAAAAAACAACAGCAACTCAAGAGTCTAGGATTAGGCAACAAACCAAAAACTGCAGAAGTGTTGGATGATGCGACCCTGGATAAAATGTATGAAAATGGTACACTTGGTGATGGCAATCCAAGAGCGTTAATACATTCCATGTGGCTTATTTGTACAAGTTATTTTGGCATGCGAACAGGCAAAGAATGCCATGACCTCTGCTGGGGAGAAGTACAATTATGTATCGACGAGGTGACGGGGGAAGAATTTTTAATGTATGACAAAGAGAGAGAGACAAACAAAAACAAGATCAGGTTGTAACCCTCGAGATACAAGGTATAAAACTATAATACAATTTTTCTTATAAATGATTAAAAAAAAATATCATATTTCTTATTCAACATTATTTCTAAAGTATTTTTAACTTTAATTTCAACAAGAAGACAGCAAGGATAGTTGTATCCAAACTGGGACTTGAACCCAGATCTTTTGCCTGATGACAAATGTCCTTTCATTGGACCATTTGGATGTACTACCACTGCCTCTTTTGTTAAAAATTAAAGAAAAAACACTTATTTTACTTCACAATTTTAAGTTTAAAAAACAGTAATCATTTTTATTTTTAATAACGAAACAATATGAATATGTACTTTATATTTATAAATTGACAATTTGCAGAAATTGTACTCAATTTGCAGAAATTGTGCTCAATTTGCAGAAATTATACTTTATCTCATGCAGTGTTTTTTTCTTTATATAACTACTACCCTAAAACGGTACCGTTCCCAATAGAAAAAAACATTATAATTAGGGCTGTGCATTGCCATTTTTTTCTGTCACGATACATATCACAATACTTGCATTTCCAAACGATGCGATTCACAATATGTATTGCATACTTTGATAAAATGCGATGCATATTGGGATTCTTATGTTTCGATGCAATACGTATCACAATACTGACTTTCAGACTTTATCTATATAAAAACTTGGTCATTTGTTCTCAGCATAGTTACGAATGTAATATAAAACTACTACAATAACAAAACAATAAACTCTTCAACTTGTTATTATAACTCGCCTCAAGTTTTGATCTTTACATTACTTATTACTTAAGGATTTTTACTTAAGGATTAAAGGTATTTTTCATTATACCATAACCATTGGTGTATTGCGATACTTTCTCGCTATATCGATGCATCGGGTGGTGAAATATGTATTGCATCCTGATATATTGGAAATTATAAATTCATTACGATGCAGACATCGAGGACAGGGCAGATCGCGATGTATCGATGCATCGATGAATCGTTACACCTCTAATTATAATTCCCAATTTCCAATGTTTAAATTTCCAAAATGGCTTTTCAAAATTCCCACAAGGCCAAGTAATTTCTCTGAAATCATTTTAATCCAACATATTCATATAAATCACCACTTCATAGTTCTACCTGGACAGTGGAAGCTGTTAGCTATCTTTATTCATGATGATTAATCTCATTTGTAGCTGAAAAAATGGATTAAAAAATATTCCCAATATAAGTCAAAATAACGCATTTTTTCCCAATCAGTCTGGTACCGGCACCATTCTCAAAGCAGAGGAAAAAAACACTGTCATGATACAGTCAAATTTGTTAGCAATGGCCATCCGAGAGAATGTGACCTTTATGCACAAGTAGCCTTTATTCAATCAAATAGAACCTTTGTAGCTCTATATATTGCCTATAATTATGTATTGGTTAGTGACCTTGACTTATAGTGTGGCCAGCCGCCTTAATTTGCAGGTCATTACTATCATAGGTTTGACTGTAATACTTATTTTGTAAAATCTAATAAACTAAGACCACAAAATAAAGTATTTTTGCTCATATCTTTTTCAACAATTTTCATACCTTAGAATCTATGTAATTTTTGTTTTATGTTTTCAAGATTTATTTATTTAACAAATTTTATGTTAAAGAACTGTAAAACCAAAGGCATTTGGCAATGATGAAGACACACGAAAAGACCCTGTTCACCTCTACAAGATGTACCGAGATAAAAGACCGGAGAGCATGTGTTCGGATGAAAGTCCTTTCTTTCTGACACCAGGCGGAGGCACTCAGAAGAGCTGGTATAGAAAAGCTCCGATGGGGATCAACAAACTATATAACATCATGAATGATATGAAATCAGACGCCAACATAACAAATTCAAGAATTACCCCATATAGGTAGAGAATTTTTAATTATATAAAAAAAATATCACAAAACAAATATTACATAAATTACATTTCAGTATTGTGGTTGATGATCAACCACAATACTGAAATGTAATTTATGTAATATTTGTTTTTTTGGGGATGTTACTGTAAAACTGAAATGATTTCATTTCCCAAATTGATACATTAAATTAATAATTACCATATAAACATAGCTCAGTTGCAGTGAATTTTTAGTGAAATTTTTTGTTTTAAATTTTTAAAATTAAATTTTTCATTAAATTATTTTTTGCTATAAATAAAAAGAATGTACTGATTTGTCAATTAAAGGTGAGCCCCAATTTCACAACCACTCTCCAAAGCTGTACTTTAAGTTGAAATTTTTCATTTGAAATTATGTTGTATTTTCAATTGTCATAAATTTAACTAATATAAATAGACGAAATTGTCAATGCTATGTCATGGTTCCAATTTTAATGAAGATGTCACAAAATTGATGCAATGCCAGGGCTCTCCTTTGGTAAAATTTGGGGCCGAATATCGGCCCCATTCCCCCACCCAAAAAGTGTGTTTTTTCCCCCTAAAACCAAAAAAAATCCCCCTTGAAATTAATATTTATCTGGCATAGAAAACGCCGATCGGCGAATATATATTCCACAAACGGCAACCGGAAATTAGTACGTATTCCCCGGACGGCAATCGGAAATTAGTATGTATATATAAATCATTTTTTTGTTAGTCCAACACCCAATATTCAGGTCTAGGAAACCCTTAAATTTACAAATTATTTGTATACCGTAAAACTCCTAATAAACGCCCCCGGGGGCTAAACATTTTCCAAAAGGGGGTCTATTATTACAACACAGTTTTTCCTAAATAAAAAAATCACTGTAAATACATTTAGTGTTAGCAAGTGTTGGTAATGACATTAAAAAATGTTAAGATTTTAAAGTTCTGCTTCATATTATACATATTTGTGTTTACAGTTACTACAAAATACTATGGATTCTGAATGATTTGAATAAAATTATTGCTTTAATTATGAGTTCAGCACTGATAAGTAGATTATTTTCCATATCAAAAGGCCTGTAGGGGGGCCTTTATTAGGGAAAGGGCGTTTATTAGGAATTTTACGGTATTTACAAAATCATTTGTAAATATAAAGATTTTTCAATTTACAAATTTAGCATGCAATTTTTCGTAACAAAACCTAAACAGGTAAAGGGCGAAGGGGCTTAACTAGTAGACATCTTGACCCACTTTTGCAAAGTTTCAATAAATTTTAATAATTTTGATATAAATTATAGTTTGCTGCTAATCTCGTGTTAAATCTAATTCCGCAGTATCATACGTCCAGGGCTACAGATAACATTTTGTGTATATTGGGTAATTACCCCTTATTTTGTGATCTATTGGGTTTTTTCTATTTTCTTTGAGTTATTTCTGTATTTTTTACCCTACCCCCTCTAACCAATTTGGGTTATAAAGTACAAGTTCATGCATTTTACCCAAAATTTTTGACCTTCATTGTAGACATTTGTAGGTTTTGTACGGTTATAAACAAGAGTTGTCTGTAGGACAGCATGCTCGACTATTCAAAGAGCCTTGATATTGTTAAATTTTTTAAGTTCACAAAAGGGCTAATTTTTTTTTATAAATTCATGTTATAGGCCTTAGAGAGAGTCTAATTATACAGAATTGGCTTGACTATTCTGAAGGTAATGTCACAAGGGTTTTTTATTGAGTATAATAAAACTAATTACCTATGTATACATGAATTTGACAGAAAAGGTACAAAGGCTTGTTATTAAGATGGTTTATCAAGTAAATCACTACTTAATTATTATGAATGCATAAAATTGTCCAAAAAAAGGCACAAACCCTTCAGTAGTTATTGAGATAACAGCTTACAAGCAAAACTTTACCATGAATTTCTAAGTTGAAAAAGGGGAGAAAAATCAGCCTAAATGCAAGATAGAATTATGGATCTTTGTCAGTGACCTACAATTATGACACTAAATGCATATGTGAAGTTTTAAATAAATATCTTTAATAGTTATTGAGATATGTAAAACTTGCATGTAAACATTAACCAAGAGACTAAGTAGAAAAGGGGATATGAATCAGCCTTAATGCAAGATAGAGTTATGGAACTTGGTCAGTGACATACAATTATGACCCTCCAATTATGACCCTAAGTGCATGTGTAAAGTTTCAAGTAAATATCTTTGAAGACCGTTAACCTTTAACCAAAATTTCTAAGTTTCAAAGGGGTAAATAATTCTGCAAATATTGCAGACAGAGTTATGCAATTTTGCAAACTGATGTACATTGTTACTAATAATAAGTATTCTAAATTTCAATTGATTATCTCAAGCAATAATTGAGATCATATTTGACTTTACAAAAAACTTTAACCAAAATTTCTAAGTTCCAAAGGGGCATAATTCTGTCAATATGGTAGGCAGAGTTATCCAACTTGTCAATCTGATGTACATTGTTACTATAAATAAGTATTGTAAGTTTCAATTGAATATCTCAAGCAATAATTGAGATATTTGACTTTATAAAAAACTTTAACCAACGCAGACGCCGACGCGGACGCTGACGCTGACGCCGGGGCGACTACAATAGCTCTCATATTCTTCGAATAGTCAGGCTAAAAAGCTACTTACTACTTTGTTTTATGGTTTATTGGCCTAGGAGATTTCCAAGTTGCCTTATATAATTTAAAGGTTAAAACAGTCTGAAACAGTATGATCTGCCTGATGTACGCGTTAAGTAATAATTTTCGTCATTACGCACCAGTTCAAATGTAGTTTGTATGAATAAGAATTCAATTACTTTTCTTACCCTTAGTTATTATTTCTATTGGGTTTTAGACATTTTAATTGGGTAATAACGCAAATACGCATGTTATCTGCAGCCCTGTACGTCATTATTTTCGAAAACAAAATTCTGCAATGACACTTACCATGAATGTAAAGATTTAAGTGCGCTAATTTTAACAGCAAAATTAAATCATGCTCTTCTTTTGTTATTCAATTTTTGTTAATCAAATTAAAGGGGCAAAAAAAAACCTTACTTTAAGATTTTCACAAACTGTATAAATAAAATTTATAATCAATTTAAAGACAAATCATGACTTTTGATCAACATGTAATAAATTTATGTGAAACAAAACAATAAATTCAGTAGAAAGAATCATTTAACAACAAAATAAAATATTATACCTCATTTGCATGTATACGCCCTTCTATATCGAATATGACGTCATCTGGTCAATATAAGAATTATGGACCGGCCCCGGTCTCTATGCGGTTTATGGACCGGATGACGTCATATTAAATTTAGAAGGGCGTATGCAAATGAGGTATAATATTATTTTATATGTACCACGGAAATACACACATTATACTTTGATTTTTTTTAAAAGCGTAGTCAACATTTTTAACCGAAACCTTCTGTAACAGTGCAAGCTTGTAAATTAAGGGGTTTCCTAGACATGATATTTATATTGAAAAAGTAAAAAAGTAATAAAAAAAACAGTTAAAAAATATATACAAGCTCATAAGGGTTCACTAAACTAGAACTTATTAATATTCATGCGACCATGTAGTATGTTAGTTTTCAAAGTGTGATTTTCTAAATTTGTTTTGTTAAATTACAGTTCAAGGAAGAGACTGATACAAAAACTCCAAGACGAGGGAGTTCCAGCAAACCAAATAGTACAGATATCTGGGCACAAGAATATCAACTCAATTAACAACTACAGCAAAATTAACAATGATCAATCAAAGAACATTTCTGACATATTATCAAATAAAATCAGTAACACTCACTCAGATCTCCAAGTTCGAAGTTCAACTCCAAAGTCTGCATCCATGACCATGTCAGATTGTGTTCGTGCCGGCGACAATAATGGAAAGCCTCCACAGGGTTTATTTGCATACAGTCATTTCAACGGCAATGTAACTTTTAATTTCAACAGCTCAATTTCTGAAAGCCTATCCCAAATGTCAGCCGTAACACTGAATCGTAACACCAGCTCCGCCTCTGGATCTGCAGTCCTTGATCCGTGTTCGCCGATAATTAGGCCATACAAACGTGTAATAGTGGTCAGGTTCTAATGAGAATCAATGCTTTACACGGAGACCAAACGATCACAAATTATAACTGGAGTAAATTCTCAGGGCTCAGTAGATTTATATATAAGTGTCACTTTATAAAGATGATGGACTAAACAACAACAACTAGTAAATTCAATTTCAATCAATGCTTTTAATATATGAAAAGCCCTAACAAATTGAAAGAGAATACTAATCAAATTATATTTAGTTTTATATTAAGAATAACTATATTTATTATTTAATTAAGATTATGTTTATGATATTTTTATATATGGTCGTTTATAATAAACATAAACGTTTGTTAAGGACTTGTGTGTGTGTGTGTGTGTGTGTGTGTGTATTTGTTTTAATTGTTTTAAGGATTTGGAATAAGTATTGTGGTATATTTTAAAGTTTCTTGTTGAGCAATAACTTCTGTATTTCATGTAATCAGTGTATATTTATTTGAGAAGTAAATTCATGATTTTCATGTATTTAGAATTGAGTAAAGAATTGAGATGGTTCAGAAATAGCATTCCTTTTTAACATCACTTAACTCTTTCTGTCCTGCACATTGTTCTTAATAATATGCATTCTTTATTTGATAATTTGCAGCACCCAGTCACTGTGTGAGTGAAGTGTTTGTTGATTGGAGTAAAGTTAATTAGATGGCTTGATATTGTTTAGAGCATACAATTGGGTACGTTACGATACCGAAATCAACTTGATTTCGGTAAAGTTACCGAAATCAACTTTTCATTACCGAAATCAACTCGTAAAAACCAACCTAGTTAAAATATTGCTATTATTTCTTCATTATTTGATGAAAATTAGTGAAATAGACTTTCAGTTAAAAAATCTATTGAAATTTTTTTATTTTAATGATGTTATTAACAAAAATTATTGAGTTACTTCCCTTTGTTCTAAACAACCCGTTATGTGTTTAGCATTACCGAAATCAGCATTATGTATATAAAATACATGTATAATACATATATAGTGATTATTTAAGATAATTTATGTTTTTGAAATTAAAGAAAACCCGACTGCATTGATGAGAGCGTTCAGTTGCAACTGAATAGATATTGCGTGTAATATCTGTTCAGTGCATCCTGGCCACACCACGGGGAGGTGCTTTCTTCAGGGCCCATCTTTTTTTTCTTTTCTGTTTTTCTCTTTCTTTAAGTAACTAATAATAAATTAATTAATAAACAAATGTTACTCCGGCCTATAAGAACTTGCTGATATTTATAACGAACAGAACATATCTTCTATTTTCACCGATTATTAATAGAATATCGAACCATGAATATGAAAAAGTGATATATATTCATTTAACTCGGTACAATATTAATGAACGAAGTAAGATTTTTTTCACTAACCTATGAAATGAACTTTCGAACAGGGTTTGATTTACTTTAAGTCATTATGCAATAAAATATATTGCAGGTTTAGAGATATTTGGTACACAAATTATGTATGTACAGCAACCATTTATTACAAGACATAAGCACAAGCCTGTTATGTATCTGCACGTGATTATCGTGCATAACAATTTTCTAATCAAATAGTATTTTTAAAAAGCTATGATCGGACTATGATGGAAAAATATAATACTCTGTAATATGAGTTTAATCTAATTATAAATTTTGTACATGTTTATGTTTTATGAGTTTGAATACAGATATATAACTCGACTGCGCTAAAAATTTCCATAAACATTTTATAATGTATCAGGCAGTAAAATTGGAATTGGAAAGTTTGTGTCTTTCTTTTATTGAACAGTTAAACTATATATATTAACAAATCGCTAACATGTTATGGGGACTCTTTATTATAATATTTTTTTTATTTTAGTCATTTATTTAAATGTTTATTACGAAATAAATCGATGGTTCATTATAATCTTTTATCTTTAACATACATTGTATGTCAACTGTACCTCCTGTCTTAATTACTTCACACCTTACTTGATACAGTAATACACAACATGTCATATCGTACAAGTTTCAACATTTATATAATTGAAATTTGTCAGTTTAAAGTGTTCCATTTTTTCCATCATATAAATATATATCAGTCATTCCATAAATTTATGCTGTTTTTTGGAACAACTGATATGCAATTTGGTAATAATAACATCAAAGCACCTTGTCTCATATACCGAAATGTTTTCTACGGAAACGTATAGCGACGACCCCTACATGTTAGTTAAAACAGACCTTTTTACAATTTATTTAATATAACATTATATTTTTACCAGCTTACTAGATCTGAAATATTTATACTATAAAACTATAAAAAAGTATTTCTAAAGTTTCCATGCGCCGATGTATATTAAAGGATTGCGGTTAACGAGTATGTAATGTCAACTAGCACCTCCATTGTCCGAGCACGTGTATGTTTGCTCTTTATAGTAAAGGTGTTATGATTACATGATTAATGGCAACCGCTACGTCTTTTATTTAAATCAAATCATAATCATTGGATTTAAATTAAATACTGTGATAATTTTCCAATCAACTATTTTAATAGTGGTCTAAATAGGCGGATAACTTCAAACACAGTTTTGTTTAATCTTGTATTTCAAAATCATTAAGAAATATCAAAGAGATGATACGCTGCTATGTTATCTGACTAAAGGGAAAATTTAAACATTGAAAATAAGCGATATGAATTCAAAGTTTAAAACTCACTCAACTAACTTTTCTCATAGACTTCTGAAATTCATGCAAATTATTTAGGGGTTATTCTCATCATTGAAATGAAATCTGATTTGATTTCGGTAATGCAACACATTAATAACAAGGGAAGTAATCATGATATAATATACATATCCGTCTATAACATCATCATTTTTTTATAATTAAATATTATTTTCCTTTGTTTATGGTTCAGTTTGAATGACTTCATATTAATTAATTAAACAAGATCTATGAAAATGTTTATTTTAACTTTTACAAGCCGATTTCGGTATGGTAACATATATTTCGGTTCGTGACAATCAGGGAAGTAATCTTGATATTCATATATTTCGGTAACTTTACCGAAATCAAGTTGATTTCGGTATCGTAACGTACCGCATACAATTCCACAAATTGGTAAGTCATCATTATATATTATAATTGTGTATTAATATGTGTAAGTTATTGCTGTAACTTTTAATTGATTATTTATTGTATGTATGTAATGTAACTGTAATATATTTGAATGTAACTTGTTATTATTGTTAAGGGTTAAGATAAAGCCACTAGAACCACTTAATAATAAGTATCATATGTGAACTATTGATCATTATGATTTAATGTGTTTTTAACATTATATATTGTGAATTAGAGGGAGATAACCCTGCAAAGATGAGACATTAAGTGAATAGGCATTTAGTGACATTTTGTATGTTTTCAGTGTGCTGGACTTGTTAACTAGGTACTCTAGTTGACTGTGATAGTGTAATGTGAAACAGAGTACAGGAACAGTGATATAATGGTTTGAGACATTTTAAGAGGATACAGTGATTATTTATATTTATTTGTTTATCAACATAATAACACAGTGAACTATTAATAAATCTATATGTGAACCCAAGCCTATTTGGATTTGTAATCTTTTATTTAGATACAAAGTAACCAAAGGTAACAATAGTAACTCATAACTTATAGATTAACTGTATCGTCAGTAAACCCAGGGTCACAAGGGTCTCAGAGGTTCACAGGGAGTAATTATCCAAAAGACTGGGATGAAAGTTCGAATGATAACTCTTCGACTCATAGGTCAACAGTGCTAGAAGCAAAAGTGGTGCATAACGAAAGATATGAGGCTGATATCAAGAATATACATATCGATGCCATAACCGTAGAGGGGAAAAATGTTCGAGCTATGAGTTGTGGAACAACTTCCACCTCTAGCAATGGATCAACATCCGGTAGTGATACCAGTTGCGTTAACACGTGCTGGGGTATGAGTATCACCGACATAATTGAATCTCAGACCAAAGACGATGATCTAAGTATCATTCTTAACTGGTTGTGCAACAACGTTGAGCCTAAAGAAAGTGAATTATTTCTAGCAAGCCCTGGGGCTAAGTCTCACTGGCTAAATAAAGAACAGTATTCACTTATAGACCAAGTTCTATACAGAAACAGAGGTGATACAGAAGAGAAGGATTTGGTGCTTCCCAATAAGTTGAAGGAAATGGTGCTTCGGCTTAATCATGATGTACCATCCGGGGGTCATCAGGGCGTTGCGAGGACCAAGGCCGGGATAAAGGAGAAGTTCTTCTGGTATGGCATGGGTCAGGATATTGCAAACTATGTGACGACATGTGAAGTTTGTAATCGCAACAAGAAGACCGAGAGGTATGGACATTGTGGTATGAAGGAATACCAAGCTAGTGCGCCCATGGAAAGAGTCCATTTGGATTTTATGGGACCATTGCCGAAGACACCGAGAGGAAATGAACACATTCTCATGATGGTAGATCAGTTTACCAAGTGGGTGGAATGTGTACCATTACCAAGTCAGACAGCTGAGGTGACAGCGAAAGCCGCTGTGGATCACTTCTTTTCAAGGTTCGGTTGTCCGTTGCAAGTGTTCACAGACCAGGGACGTAATTTTGAGTCAAAGCTGTTTACTGCCTTGTGTGAAGAACTGCAAATTCACAAGGCAAGAACAACTCCTTATCGCCCGTCTGCCAACGGTCAAGTAGAAAGATACAATCGTACGTTGATGGATGCTGTCCGATGTTTTATTGGGAAACATCAAAACCAGTGGGATTTACATTTGCAGCAGTTAGCGGGAGCCCTTCGAGCATCGGTGAATCGTAACACCGGCTTCACCGCAAACAAATTGATGTTGGGCCGTGAAATTAATCTACCTGCTCATGTAATGTTCCCACAAAGAAAACAAGATATTGATGCAGATGACTTTGTAGCTAAGCTTACCAGTCAAATGCAGAAAGCACATGACACGGCCAGGACTACTCTAAAGACATCGCTGAAGCGTATGAAAAGAAACTATGATCTGCGTATACTTGAGAGACAGTACGAAGAAGGTGATGTTGTCTATTTATTGGACTCCGCCACTTTAAAAGGTAAATGCAAGAAATTGTGTTCTCCGTGGAAAGGTCCTGCTGTCATCGTCAAGAAGTTGTCAGTTTCTTTGTTCAGAGTGAAATTGCGCAACGCAATTTTTGTGGTCAACCATGATAGGTTAAAGCCATGCCATGATAGAAATATGCCAGCATGGATACAGCAATGGCAACAGAAACCTGTTGATGCAGATTCTTCAACAGATGAAGATAAAGCACTTTATTGCTTATGCCGGAAGCCATGGCAAGGAAGATTCATGATACAGTGTGATTACTGTGATGAATGGTATCATGGGTCATGTGTTAACATTACAGCGTCAGACGCCTTGGACATTGACAAGTACAAGTGCACGACTTGCAAAGGACGTTAATTTCTTGTTTTGTTAATGTGAAGTGGTCTGTTTGTGTTTTTCAGTATGGCTCACAGTTCCAGACCCAAAGATTACTTAGGGGAGGTGGAGGAGAATACAATCCTAAGGATTCTATGTTCTCCAAAGGAAATTGTATACAACCTGATGATGTGTAGACGTGGGACCCCAGAAGAGAAATTAAACGCTCTTCTCGGACAGGTCCGTCTAGCAAAACATGGGAGAGCAACTCGGTGGCTAGTAACCGTAGCCCAAGAAGCTGTTACTCTACAATTTCAGAGCCACGACTGGATTTCAGACAATATCCATGTCCTGCCAAAGAAGAAGAGGACGATAGCTAGTACCGTCCTACCCACAGCCTCGGTCGATTACCGGAAGAAGACTGATCCAACGATCACGTCTGTAGTAGAAGATCAGGGTAGATTGGCCTTGGAGGCTAGGAGTGATAAGAGGCAGGAAGAGGAAAAGGCGTCGTCAATATCATCGGGCACCGAAGATAATCTTTTGAGTGTAGTTGATATTGTGGGCAGTCCGGAAGCTGTTGAGGTCGTGCTAAGCACATCTCCGGCAACCGAGGTCGCCATGGAAGTGGACAGTTCCAATGAAACGGTCCCTTCTATGGAACAATCATTGGCTGTTCCGGCTACTTCACCGGAACATCAGGGGACGATATCACCAGTTAGGTATCCTTCTCCTGTAAAGAAGCGTGTTCCGTCAGAGAAAGACGTTGATGTCTCTTCAAAAAGGCGAAGACGACCAAGAAGACGTCATCGTCACAGGAGTGACAAGGAGGGAATGCTGCCTTGCGGACGTGGCATGACTGTTGACTTGCCTGGTAAATTGAGCTATGTAAGCTCCAGGGATGACAAATCTGAATCCCGAGATGTCAGCAGTGGTGCTGTCCCAAAGAAACCGAAGGTGAGCCATTCTGACCGGGGACAAACGTCCTCCGTTGAGTGCGTCACAAGAGGAAGTTCTTCCCTGGGACGTGGCTCCCACCAAAGGACAATTCCTAAGGTGGTTGGTAGTCACTCTAAGGAAAGATCACGTGCAGCAGCGTCCAGTAAAGACGGAACAAGGCGGTCTACCACCGAGGAAAAGGGGAAAATACAGATAACTGTACCTAACCCAGAAAGGTGTAGACCATCATCATCAGTTCAGCAGCAAAGGTCATCCCGGAAGACTGATACTGATATGGGACGTAGAACGGAACGTAGACAACCATGTTTGATTCCGGAGTGCGACATTCCAAATGCGTATCCGAAGAGTCATGCGTTCCAGCAACACATCCCTAATCTTTTCAAGGAGGGGAGGGAATTGGAGGAAGTAACACGAAAACGTGTAGCAGCCCTCAAGCTGATGACTGGTTGGTTGCTGGGTAATCGAGCTAAGCTCGAGGACCTGGTAAAGTACATCAACAGCACAGAGCAAGTTCCTCGTGAAAGTAACCGGGAGGTGTCAAACAGGTTAAAGGAGGAGATGGAGGATATGTCTCGGGAATTATTCCAAGAACTCCCTGAGCGATTCATCATCTCACCAATGAATTCTTTGGCAGCTCTCATCCATTGGCGCGTCTTGATTGTCATCATAGCTAAGCTTGAACCGAGACATCGCCAGAGTCTGATGGAACAGTTCCACGACTCCGAGGAGCCCTCAGAGCCTACAGAAGCCCCAGCCGATTTACCAGAGGGATTTGATAGTCATTTCCACTTGGATAGATTGCAGGGAATGATGCGTATGCGTGGAGCCAGTTTAGCCGAAATAAATCAGGCGACTGGTGACCCCTACCATCGAGTGAACCTTGTGGGAGCTGTGGCTAACTTCTGTGACCCAGCTACTTACCCCTCCGAAGATTTGGTAAGGAAACTTCACCAAGAAGGAGTGTCCGTAACTATTGGTCTGCATCCTAAGGATGTCGGCGAAGTTACAGATGACATTTTGAAGAGGATGGAATCCCTTTTACAGATGCCAGAGGTTGTCGGTCTTGGAGAGGTTGGCATTGATCACTCAGTGTCACCAGAGTTCTGGGGGAGCCAACTAAGGATCCTTAACAGTGCTTTGAGCTTTCTTCAGGACAGACATGTTTTGGTTATCCATTGTAGAAGCATGGCGCATACAGGCGATACCAGTGAAGCCTACATGACTTTACTGTTTCATCTTCAGCCCAGGGTTCGAAAGGAACAAAACATCCATCTTCACTGTTTTACTGGCTCGGAGAGCATGGTCAAAGAGTGGACGTCGGTCTTCCCGAACACCTACTTTGGTTTTACCAGATTAGTTGACCGGTTCGATGAGACTCAGCTAAGGGGATTAAGAGCTGTACAAGATAGCCGAATCCTTCTTGAGACAGATGCTCCATACTTCCAGTTCTCCGGGGGTAACAGTAAACCGAAGTTTCGACATGGAACCAGATATTCCGCTCCCATATTAATTGGCATGACTGCTGCTGTAGTTGCTGAGGAGCGACCAGAAGACCAGGTGGTATTACTCCGTAAGACTGTGGCAAACCCCAGGGCTTTGTATGAAAGTACGTAATAAACTTGGAGTTCTAAGTTCTAACGAGCTAAGGAGCTGGATGCTGGCCGCTGTTAAATAGTGCCCAGGAAGATGATCCAGTGGAGAACCTTCTATTAATAACTTGATGGATGGTTAATAACAGTATGGTAATCTGTCTTGCTAACGCCTGACATTGATAATCTACTGTATTTACAGGCCAACGCCTGTAAAGGCGGTCAAGTGGGTACTGGTTTGAAACCCAGGAGTGGACTAAGAGTCTCGGGGTGCACACTTCCAGGGAGAAGACTTCGTCTTTAAAGTCGGGGGGAGTGTGGTGAGATATGAGAGTCTGACCTTATCCGGGTGATTCCGATACCGGATAGACGAGATTTAGTCCGTGCATGACGAGCAAGATCGAAGCCGCCATCTTGATAGGAACTATAGGAAAGACAACAAGACGAAATCCGAAGTAACTTAGAACTATATACAGTCATCCATACAGGGAAAGTGTTTCAAGGTAAGCAGAACACTTTACTGTTAACTTAGATTACCGTAAATACCCATCCTATTACAAACGTATCAGGATGCTACCTGACAGTGACACTGATTCTAATTAATATGAATTAGGCAAATAATATACCTGTTATGTTGTTCGTTCACTAGTTTGATTTAAATCCTTGTTTTGTTTATAATTCCCACACACGTTACGAATGAAAAAAAAAATGGCGGATTGAACTGAACTGACTTCGATTCACGCGCAGTAATTCAATAGCTTTATCAGCCTAAAACTGTTGTTTACTCTGAATAAATTTACAAAACGATTTATTTTTTCTGTTTGACATAAATAATAAATGAATAAAACCCTGTCTAGTGAATTATATATTAAAAATGAAAGTTTATCTAGAGCTATTTTTATTACGAAATATACATGTGTTACCACGTGAAGAAGAAGGAAAAGTGGGGCTCCAGACGGGGAACACTCGGATGGGTAAAACATTAAAAATGAGAAATAGTTCAATTAATCCATTGAAAAGCATGAAATAAAAAGAAAATTTGCTTGTTTTGGTGTAAGAATGAAATTTATTTCATCTCGTGATGGCAAGGATTAAATATTTTCACTCGTGACTGCGCCACTCGTGAAAATATTTATCCTTGCCATCACTCGATGAAATAAATTTCGATCTTACACCAAAACAAACAAATATCCTCTATATAAGTAATACGTAGAAGATTTTAATCATTGTAAAAAAGCTTTTGTTGAATTACGTGAGCTATTTGTCAATGCGAGTAACGTCTTTGCATCTTACTAATTTATACTTAATATTTCAGCAAAGTCGTGAAATCACGAAGTTTCTACAGAATTTTTGTCGAAGAGACGAAATGTTCAAGCATATCGAGAAAAATTTAGTTGCAATGCCTAAAAGCTTCTCATCTTTGTCAGTACATTTTAAAACATCTTATCAATGCGAATAAAAATAAGTCGACTTAGCACAAAAACATCTCATCAACTGTACTGGTCGGGGACCATCAACCGGACACTTTTTGAACATTTTTCCATACAGATCTCATAATTTCCAACTCAGAGACCTAAAAATTTGACACAGTACATCTAGGTTCTTCGCCTAACTAAGAAACTAGTTTGTTTATTTCTGAATGTATTGACACTTATATTTGAGGCTCGTCAAGAGGGGTATCAAAATTACCTAAATTGTCTACACTACAGTACCATGTGTTCGGACAGATATGTACATGGCGTGATTTAATTCAGATAAAAGCTTTCGTGTTTTATTTTTTATTTTTAACACAATATACAATATTTCAGCAACAAATCCTGAAGTTTTGGAAATTCTATTGTTTACTCTGCAAATGATTATAGCTGGTATAAAAGAGCATGCATTGCTTTCTTGACGCCCTAATTTCAACGTCAACATTCTTATAATACAGTACTGGGCAGGAACCAGTTTCCGGACAGAATTCGAGCTTTTTTAATTGTCTATTTTTTAATAATAAACATGCATTAATAAAACTAACATACCAAAAATCTGAGCTCTAACTACGTCCAATAACACAATTAATACTGCCTGGTGAAGTAAGCAATGTACAAACTGAAGGGTTAAATTAGGTCATCAAAAGTGTAAATTGTTCACTCTTGCAGAACCAGTTTCCGGACATATATTAAGCTGCTATTCATATCTGTTTTTAACTGATAATTATTCTTATATAACAAAAAATTATTATTGTAGACATTAAAATATCACCATCCAGGAGGTTGAATTTTTTTTTCTAAATAATAGAAGAAACATGCATTTATTGTTTATAAAAAATTGACTGACAACCACTGAACAAAGAAAATACACAATTAAGCATTTTCGGGGCCGTCCGGGTTTGATGGTTGTCCAGTTTTGGTGGTCCCCAACCAGTAGGCCCTGATAAGCTTCCGTACATATGAATTACACAATAAATCTAATTAGAACTTTTGTACCTTTAAATTTAAATCTTACTGTAAATTATCTATTAAAATAATTGCATTATTTTGTTAAATTAAACATACCGATTTTGACTTGTCTCAATACATCAAGTTCCAGATTTAAACTGACGAGATTCTCAATAACAAAACAAAACAAAAATGATGACGTCGACGTAAACATCTTACGTCACGTAAAGTAGCGTAACCTATTGACGCCATTAACTACGTTCACAAATCGCCATGAAATTACTCTTAAATTTCATCAAAATTCTAAATAACTAGTACAATAAAGAGACAAATTTGACCTTTTAAACTTAAATATATGTATATTCGAGTGGTTAATGTTTAAGCTTAGCTTTTAAAGTGTCAATAAGCGACATGAGTATGACTAAGGTGAACTTTCAAGTAGACACCGCTTACAAGATTTGTTCCATTATCACTGAACACCTTTTTCGGATATCCTCTTCTAGCCGTAAAACGCTGAAATGCTGCGATGAAGGAGTCAGTTGTCAAAGTGTGTGTAACTTCAAGATGTACTGCTCTAGTTGCAAGACACGTGAAAAGACAACAGTATCTCTTTACATGTTAACAATAAGTGACCCAAAGTAATCAATACCTACATTCGTGAACGGTCGTCTGCTCGGGTAGGAGAGGGGCCATCTGTTGAGTCATCAAAGGGGTATGTTGTCGTCTGCATATAATGCAATTCTTTACAATATATTTCACTGCACTAGGTCCCTGAAGTATCCAGTATTTTTCACGGGATGCGGCTAGTACATGCTGTTTCCCGGCGTGACCATTATTTTCATGTATATGTCGTAAATTATCAATCTTGTCACGGTATTTTTGTGTCGCCTTGAAAAGGTGACATATAGGGGTTATTTTTGTCGGCGGCGTCGTTGTCGGCGTCGGCGTCCCCTAAAGCTTGTCCGGAGCATAACTCAGTCATTATAAGTCTGATTGACTTCAAACTTGGTATGCATGCTTCTTTTAATAACCCGAAGTGCAGTGCACAAGGACCGGTACTCTGCAGTTCTTATTTTTTGAGTTATTGCCCTTTGTTAATTTTCATACTTTAATTTTGTCCGGGCCATTTCTCTTCAACTAAAAAAGCTATGGGCTTGAAACTTCATAGAATGATAGATCCAAATGTCACAATAGGGACTACGCTGGGATACCAGGCCGACCACAATTGCTATCTAAAACAACCAACAACTCAGAACAGAAAAATATATACAAATTTATTTACAATAAATGAATATTTATAAATGAAAAATGATTATATATGAAAAGTACTATGATAAGTCACTGCACAAACAAACACTATCAACGTATCTCAGTCTATTTCTCCCGTAAAGTTTCTGTCATGATGTATCAATAAAGTGGTGGCGTTGTTAAACAAAATTCGTCACAATGGCGGGCGTCTTGTATAAAATCTTATCAAGCGTAACTGTACTTCCTACAGTGTTGGCACAGTTGATAGGATCCTGAACAAGGGCATGCGTCACCCTTTAGCCATGGACATACGTGTGGAGGGCCCGTGTCATCTTCGGGTGTGTCCTCAAATAAGAAGCTACAAAGTATAAAACATGATAA